AGAGGAGGCCAATTTTGCTTTGGGTGACAGCAGAGGTTGTAAAGTTGTTTAAGTGTCTCACATCGGAAGGGGAGGGGGGATTGGGCGTTTGAAAATCAGTGGCCTTCTGCGAGCTGAGCAGAGCTGCTCCACCAGCCTGAGTTATTATCGTCATTTCATCGTGGCATTTAGTGCACAGAAAATTAAATTAACAGCTTTTGATTGAGGGTGCTTCAGCCGGAGGCTGGAGCAATATGAGGTGTGTCATACTAGGATAACCCAGGCCTGGGGCAGCGTGGTGAGACACCAGGCAAAATAAGGCCTTGAGGGAGCTGAGAAGTGGCATTAACCCAGCCACGTACACGCCCTAGAGTGTGTCTGGGTGCAATTACACACAGTCAGAACCCACACACCCCTTCTCACCCCCGCTGCCTCCACTTTTTTTTAAACACTCCTCCTGGCTTAAGTGATTTCCAGAGCTGTTGAATTTTCTAGCCTCCTGCAGGTGGCGCTATGATTTAGGTTTTTAACTGGATCAGACCAAGCTAAGAAGCCCTAAAGCAGCACTAGCTGCTTTACAGAGCAAGAGTATCTGGCTTTTATCAACTTAAATACCAGGTTGGTTTACAGACCTGTAAAATGGTGGGGAGAGAACAACTTGTGAGGGGGTTCCCTCTCCCTCTTTCTTGTATTCGTTTTAAATTGGCTTCTGGGCTCTGTCATTAGGAACAATTGAGACTTACAACAACAACAAAAATACCCTAGGAAAAAATGTGTTTGTCTGCTCAGAAGCCATGGATGTTGTCAAAACCTCTCCCTGTGTGTGGTTAGATAACAAGGCACAAAATGAAAGGAGGTGTGTGCTGGGAGCTATATACCGGGTCCTCATCAGGGAAGAAATCTACAAGAGTTTAAATGGGCAGTGTGTCAACTGCATCAATATCTAGGACATTATTAGCCATGGGAGGCTAAAGAGGAGGGTTTTGGGCAGGAGGAGGAAGAGGGGAAAGCAGGCAGTGCAGGAAGATTGCCTGGAAACAACTCCAATCTACTAAATCTCTCTCCACCCAGATGTAAAATGAGGCCTTGATGGGTGTTAAGTTCTTGTCACTCCTGAGAATTGTGGATGCTCAATGACTTTGAAGCCCCCTGATCTTGGTCTCTAGTTAGCGCTGGTTGGATCTTGCTGTCATGAAAGTCAATGGCAAAAAATAAATCTGATTGATTACAATTGTCCAGATCCGGGTAATATGTCCTGGGGCCCTTTTACTGCAGCTATTCATGGGGTCAGAAGAGGCCATGTGGGTTATCCAGTCTTGACCCCTCTCCAACCCCCCCAGCGTTGTGCATGAAAGAGCCTATAAATAAAGTCTTGTTTGTCACTCACTCTTATGGAATCCATAGATATGAGCAATCTATTAACTTGAGCCATTCTTTTAAGAAAGAGAAAGAATCACATTGATTCGCCTACCTCCTCAGTTTTAAAAAAGAACCGCAGTGAGTCTAGAGCATCCGTGTAAGGGACAGTTGAGTTTTAAATGCAGAACCAAATTTCCCAGGGATTTCCATATGTATTATTAAATGGATGTTGCAAGTCAGAATGGGCATTAAATAATGCCGTGCTATTCACAATAGCCGTGATCTGCCGAGGTTATTCACCTGCCATTGTATCTGGTAGATTTCTGTCTTGCTCTTCCCGTGTCATTTGGCTGTGTTATTACTCTTCAGGCTTCACATGGCATTCATTTCTCTGAATGAAAACAAATGATTCCTTGCGAGACGCAGGAGATAAAGAATAATAAATACATCTTATGCACCACCTTTAAAAAAAAAAGGCTTTGCATCCCCATCCATCTATCAGGAAATAGAAACCCAGTGCTATTTCAACACACATAAATACATGCTCCCTAGGGAGGCAAAACTTGTTTCAAGGAGACGGCAATATTGTTTTATAACAAAACATGCCTGGGTGCAAAAGGGGATGGAAATAGATTTCTGCCCAGTGATGGTGGCACTTGTGTATGTTTAAAGGTGAAACAGGCATCTCAAACTAGGAGTAGTTTGTTTGTATTGTGGCAGCACCTGGAGGCCTTGATCAGAACTTCATTATGCTAGGTGCTGCACAGACACACAGCAACAGTCAGTCCTGGCCCCTAGGAGTTCCCATACAACACAAATAGATATTCAGAGCCACCAAGTAGGCACTGGGGACCCTGCAGAAATGGGTTGCATTGTTCCGCATAAATCCACAGGCCTGCAGAGGAGGTTTGGACAGCCAAGATTTTCTGGGGCTGGATACTGTCCTTCCCCTCCCCCTCGCCCCAGTGTCTCACTGGGGACCCTGCAGAAATGGGTTGCATTGTTCCGCATAAATCCACAGGCCTGCAGAGGAGGTTTGGACAGCCAAGATTTTCTGGGGCTGGATACTGTCCTTCCCCTCCCCCTCGCCCCAGTGTCTAGAGCCCTGCAAACGGAGTGCTAGGCATTTCGAGGGTGCCCGGAGCGGCGCGTTCTGGCGCCAGCGTTTGCCCGGCCCCTCACCGTGGCCTCCAGGCTACATCGAGCTGCTGCTGGACTGAGAGTCAAACCTGTTGCTCCGAAGGGATCCTCCTCGCCTTTCCACGGGCTGCAGCTGGGCCCCTTCCCCGGGAGAGGAAGGGCATGTGCCAACAATGCCCCACTGCTATATACATCGGCCAAACAGGACAGTCCCTACGTAAAAGAATCAATGGACACAAATCTGATATTAGGAATGGCAACATACAAAAACCTGTAGGGGAACACTTCAATCTTCCTGGACACACTATTGCAGATCTAAAAGTCGCCATCCTGCAGCAAAAAAACTTCAGGACCAGACTTCAAAGAGAAACTGCTGAGCTACAGTTCATCTTTAAGTTTGACACAATCAACTCTGGATTAAACAAAGACTGTGAATGGCTTGCTAACTACAAAAGCAGCTTCTATTCTCTTGGAATTCACACCTCCAGATCAGCTGCTAGAAGTGGGCCTCATCCTCCTTGATTGGATCCACCTGGTCATCTCCAGCCTGATCCTGGCCTGCATATTTATTCCTGCCTCTGGAAATTTCCACTACATGCATCTGACGAAGTGGGTCTTTGCCCACGAAAGCTTATGCTCCTACACTTCAGTTAGTCTATAAGGTGCCACAGGACTCCTCATCGCTTCTGCAGATTCAGACTAACACGGCTACCCCTCTGATACTAATCATAGATAATTAGAGATAATAAAGATGCACAGTGATTTTAAAAAATGTGTTGTTCCTTATTACAAAGATACATCAAGAAATCTATCTGCAAATTTCATCAAACACTTATGCTCTTGATATATCAATAGTTTGCTTCCTTGCACTGCATATTAGGCTGATAAATGTGACTAGGTCAGTATTAGACCTGTATGAATAGTAGATTCTCAGTTTTTAATCATGATTGACTCATCAAGTTAATATAATGTAGAAGTTTGAAAAGCATAACTCTTAATTGTACCACTTTAGAAAGCACTGCCCCAATTCCTAGACTACAAAATGGATATTTCATGCTACTGGAAGTTATAGTGATATGGCTACTTTGATTTTTAATTCTGTTTGAATGAGACAATGTAAAAGAATGGGTGCACTGTGGGCTGCAAATACTCTGATCACATTTAATAATAGATTAATAGATTTTTAAGGCCAGAAAAGAACATTTAATAATGTATTACAACCTTTATATAATATGGATTATAGAATTATACTACTTACCCCTTTATTGATCACAATAACTTTGTGTTTGACTATAGCGTTACTATTTTAATTAAAATGCTATGCTGTACTAAGATGTTTTATAGAAACATAAGGCCTGGTCTGCTCTTGGATTTAGACTGACAGAGCTATGTTATTCTGAGGTGTGAGCCGATCTAGCTCCCAGCGTAGTCTGGGTTAGGTCATGGAAAGAATGCAAGAATTACGTACAGTGATGGAAATTCCTTCTTTCACCATAGGAAGTATCCACACTGTGGCACTACAGTGCCAAAGTAAAGCTGCCGTTGCACCTGTAATGTAGACATGGCTTATGAAATATTACATCTGTGCAGAATTATTTTCCATAAAGCCATGCTGGCAATAATTATATTAATATCCTTCAATTCATTATTAATTGAATGTCATATGAGAATTTCTATTATTTTGCCCAGGATTTATGTCAAGTTCTCCAGCCTATGACCCAGGTTGTCCTGCTTCCCATTTTTAAATAATGGCACAACTATTTCATTGGATTAGATACTTGTTGTTACTAAATGATAATATCATGTTTTGTTTTATATTTCTGTGGTGTCACCCAGGGGTTTTGGCCAGGTTAAGATCCCCACTGTGCTGTTTCTATATAAACAAGCCATGACTTCCGCCTTAAGAAGTTTATAATTCA